AATGTATCAGTGTGCTACTGCAGTCGCATGGCTACATACAGTGCATCGCGCGCGTGCTCACCATGTTTATCTTCGGAGCTGGGCCGGGGTGGGGGAGGGAACAGAAAAAGAACTGAAATTACCCATATAAAAACCGCTCTGTGAGCGGTTCTGAAAAAAACCTCTACTGGTGCAGCCCCGTCGTAAAAGTAAGAAATTAGAACTGGCGCATTGTCCTCCCAAATGTGAACTGATCCACCTAAATCGCGATTGACGGGACCCGAACGCACCAGTAGCACGAGGTCGGTAGGGCACAGGATCACAGCCGGCGTCGGCGCTGATCAAGTTACCATACAACACTTAAGCCTGGTTCACACTAGGCCGATTTTCCGGCCGACATGGACTCGTACGAAAAATCCTCAAGATCGGAGCGAAAATTGCGTAGTGTGAACTGTGTTGTCGTACAGGGTTCCGACAAATCTGCGGCGATTTTCTTGTCGCACTAGTTTTCGGTCAAGTATCGACTGGTCGATATTTAGCCGAAAAGCCGGCCGATTTTTACTGCTTGCACGTGATGGAGCGGGATTCGGACCAATCACGGTAGACTTTTCACCATGACAGCAATGAGCGTCGATGTCGAGCTCATGACCTCTTGTACTTTTGTACTCTTGATGAAATGTAAAGACTACCAAAATTTCATAACCCCCATGAACTCTTGCTTTTATGGATAATCGATGCGACTCTATTGCGAGTGAGTCGTTCCCCGTGTGTGAACAGGCCGCTTTGGCTATGGACCAGCGTCCCCAGCTGCATCCACATGGACCACAGGTAGGAACCTCGTGCTACTGTAGTACTGGTGCGTTCGGGTCCCGTCAATCGCGATTTAGGTGGATCAGTTCACATTTGGGAGGACAATGCGCCAGTTCTAATTTCTTACTTTTACGACGGGGCTGCACCAGTAGAGGTTTTTCAGAACCGCTCACAGAGCGGTTTTTATATGGGTAATTTAATTACAGAGGAAGACAAGAAAATAACATCACAAATCCTTCCAGACGTGATCCCTGCAGCGGCAGCAACGTGAACAATACTACGGTGGCAACACGACGACTTCTACAACACAAAAAACGAAAATTATAAAAATCCTACCAACCCGTAGAGTAACGAGGGTCCGAACCTGGGTTTTCCCAATACGGTTCAAATGGTCGCAAGACCGGGACTCTGCCAACCGGTTTATGGTTGTAGTCAGGAGCACTACGCGTCCTCGCCTTGTAACAATACATGCTGTCAAAATCGAAAAACAAGTACTAGTACTATAGTGCTGGGGCCAAGTCCGAAAAAGTCGCTTTATTGAGGAGTTGCATTTGACACCTCGTCCAGGAAAGATTTGACTTCAAATTCGGAGAGGCGGACCAACTATAGGAATTTTGGAGAAAACTAGAAGTTCCCAATGTTGTCCGTTTGGAAGTTATGAGCTATTTCCAAATTGCTTAGGTTACTATGGTAACCTGTGTGCAATTAGCCGTTTCTGAGGCAAAGCCGATACAATTTTGGAGAAAAAAGTTACCTTGTTGGAAGGCGAGCTCTTTCCAAGACTGTTATTGAAAACCAGAAGTTTATAGGACTGTCGGCTTCCTTGTCACAGGAATTTCTCGAATTTCTACGGTTACCGTGGTAACGTGTATGCAATTAGCCACTTCTAAGCCAAAGTCAGTGCATTTTCTCCCCTGTAGGCAGGTGGAAAGCAGAGAATAGTTATAATAATGTGGCTCAGAGGTCTATTGGGCTGTTGCAAGCCTGGTTTGTAGAGACTGGACCCCTAGCCCTCTCTCCTGATTTAGTGCCGGGATCCACACAAAAGGATCAAGAGGATTTAGGCAGGACTGACATCCAAGAACGAGCAAGGAAACACAACTGATAGCAAAACAAAAACAAGAAGACTCAAACCGTTTGAGTCTTCTTGTTTTTGAATCGAATTCCCTAGCATATATTCTCTACAAGTGCTACTTCAGTATGTTAGACCTGTGATTGAGTATAGCGTCGTAGTGTGGTCCTTCCGTTTTCGTTCAAGCGACTTGACTGAGCTGGATAGAGTCCAGGCCAGGTTTGCAAGATCCTACCTTAGGAAACGCAAAATCCGAATCGACTTTAATACACCCAAGCAGGATCTTAATAAAAAAGCTAACATTGAATCCCTTCTTTACCGCAGGCAGTTTTTAAGCTTAGTTACCATGCATAAATTTATTTTCAAGTATCGACGTTGCCTAGCTTCATTCCATTTCAATATCACGCAGAGTGCGAGACGCCCTAACAAAATTATTCTACCTAAAGCAAAGACCACATCAAAATCGTTGTTTCTCTTCCAAACCTCCCTCTTATGGAACTGCCTCCCACCAAGACTAACTGCAGAACCATCCATTATTGTTTTCAAGAATGAGCTTCGCAAACTCACTTCCCAACATAGTGCTTCGCTCTCCGGTATGCCTACGCCATTTACATAACCCCCCTGTGTGCTCCCCAACGCATTCACGCTGCACAACTTTTCACTACTTTCACTTTAGCTCCTACATGTACATGACATGTACATGTACATGTACATGTACATCCTTCAAAGCGGTGAACCCCTTGATAGGCGACAAGCCTCTGGGTCATCCTAATAAAGATATTATTATTAGAACTGGGGCTAGCCCCCATTATAGCTCAAATGGTCGCAAGACCAGGGCTATGCCAACCGTGGAGGTTATAGTAAGGTCATAAGGAGCACTGTTTTCGAACACAGACTCAGTGCATCCTCCGCCTACACGTAGCTTGTAACATGCTGGCAACCAAACTACATTGTATGTTTTGTCATGTACATGTACATGACTACACGTATTTTTTCACATCCAAAGAATCATCTTGCCCGTATAGCATAGGCCAGTACTGTAAGGTGTACATGTACATTGTACAATGTACTGAACTGAAGTGCATGTCCAGGACACTGTTGTGGTATTCATTATAGTTATTGTTGTTGTTACTGGTGTGCTTTTTAAATTACATGTATACATGTACTTCATGCAGATGTATAGTCGTTCAACCAAACACACCAAGTTCCCTTCTCATATCACACGGAGATGCCAGGACTTAGAAGACGAGAGAGATCGGAGTATGCAAACTGCTCCATGGCAGGGCAGAAACCTCACTATTGTCACTAAGAACTCCACAACCTGCCGATCAACGCTTTTCTCCAATACGTTGACAATTGGCAAGAGATATGGCTTGTAGGAGTTGAGAGTAGTCAGTATTATTATGCGGCCATAACTGTCTCCACATTTACATGATTGTATACAGCCTAGCAGGTGAAACCATCCAGGGTGTTCGATGTACATGGAATAATCTGTTGCATCAGGTACTGTACTGTACTTGCATCACTTGTACTTGTAGCCGAGTTGGATGGTGAACAACTGCTGCACACGTACATGTGTACATGTACATGTACAATGTATCCGTGAGTGCTGGAAATGATGCCACATGTACCGGTACAGGTACTAGCAAGAGTTATGACCCCCGGTTATACACTCTTGGTACTTGTAGGTGTAGAATTCATAGTGGCTCGGCTAGATAGCAGGAGAGGTCACTGCCCCAGGGGCCATGGGGTCAGTCCGGGACTGTTTTGAGACTGTTGCTTGATCAGAGGGATGTGACCAGACCTTCCTGTGTAAATGCTTTGCTGTGAGTTGCTGCAGGATGACACATGAGCACGGAATATGTGGCGGAGTTTGTTCGGCATGTTGCGGTTAGGGCAGTTGTTTGTCTATTAGCCATCTCGTTGATAAAAATTGTCCTTCCAGGTCTTGGCGTAGGCCCACACCCCGGTCTACATGTACATGTACATGACTGTATTTCATGGGCAATGTGCTTCCTAAACATGTACAGTGTACATGTACATGTCGATTGGACAGCCTGCATGACATTGCTCCATAAAAAGAAAATGTGGGTGGAAAGTACTAGTAGTGGATCATGGTGACCAATCCTGTCAACATAGCACACCGCTGTCTGGGTACTACATGTACATGTACATTGTATTATGTGAAGGAAGTGAGGAAACAAGTGCTAGGTCAATGCAATCCAGGTAGTGTTAGAGGGGAGAGGAGCCCAGTCTCTACAAACCAGGCTTGCAACAGCCCAATAGACCTCTGAGCCACAATATTATAACTATTCTCTGCTTTCCACCTGCCTACAGGGAAGAAAATGCACTGACTTTGGCTTAGAAGTGGCTAATTGCATACACGTTACCACGGTAACCGTAGAAATTCGAGAAATTCCTGTGACAAGGAAGCCGACAGTCCTATAAACTTCTGGTTTTCAATAACAGTCTTGGAAAGAGCTCGCCTTCCAACAAGGTAACTTTTTTCTCCAAAATTGTATCGGCTTTGCCTCAGGAACGGCTAATTGCACACAAGTTACCATAGTAACCTAAGCATTATTTGGAAATAGCTCATAGCTTCCAAACGGACAACATTGGGAACTTTTAGTTTTCTCCAAAATTCCTATAGTTGGTCCGCCTCTCCGAATTTGGAGTCAAATCTTTCCTGGACGAGGTGTCAAATGACACTGTCAGATTTCTGGACCTGGCTCCAGGACTACTACTGTACTAGTACTACTATACTACTACTAGCGCTAGCTAGCTGTGTGCACTCGAGGTACTCGGGCACTCAGGTGAAAGGCGGCAGACGCGAGACGAAATGCGATCGCGCGTTCGCGTCGCGTGATGCTATTGGCGCAATGCAACCGCGACCGACTGCGATTCGATGGCGCCGCCGCCTTTTAGCTTAGGCAATATCGCGATTGCGCTAACAATGCATACCGCGCCCGACTCGACTGACCGTCTCAGCTCAGGCGCCTGAGCCGTAGGCTGCTATCATTATCACAGTACAATGTATGACTATGACTCTGTATGAGTTCAGCAGCGCCGATCTCCCGCTGCATTGACCTGATGCCAGTGATGGACGGCTCCGTGACTGACTCAGTGACTATGCCCCCAACGCGATTATTAGTACGCTGTCTGTAGTCACTCGCCGACTCGGGCTGTTCTGTATTCCATCATCATACGACATTACAACTAAGTTACTTGTAGTGAACGCGTTTGTGTCTCAAGAAAGACGGGACACTACTTTGCTTCACGAACTCAGTTGACTAAGCGAAGGCTCAGTGCATTCTGGCAGTGCATTCTGGCGAGAAGAAATCTGTCCCGCTTTCTGAGATAGTTCTGCTGCAGTTGATTTCTAGCCGTACTTCTTTCTGGGGTGCGCTCATTTCCCCTTCTGCCTGAGCAACTTTAGGACAGCGTGAAAGGGATTTGTTACCTTCCCAGATTTGTGACTCACGCCTCGAGTCAAGGTAAGGAGAGCGATATAAATTAGTTCAGTTGAGACTTTCGTTAGTTTGGCGTTAGCATGAAACTATAATAGGATTAGTATTTTTGGTTTTGTTCAAGTACAACTGAGTAGATCTGCTGTCGTAAATTTTTTCTCGAGGTCATTCAGATAGTGAATGACGATAGCTAGAATGTACATGTGGAATCCTGATTATTCGAACCCCAAAATGCCCGGCGGGGGGGGGGGGGGGGGGGTGAGGACTTCAAATCGTCCGGACGGTCTTTTATTCCCCAAACATGTACCCATAATACCTTATGTAAGTTAAAAATGCTCGCATTGTCAAGCAGCGTAGCGCTATGTACCATAGGCGCTAGGCTGCGCTTACATGAGAACTTTCAACCCAACTTTCAACCCAAGTTGAAAGTCTGTACAGTGGAAAAAAATAAAAAAAATAGATAGGTGTTCAGATGAAGAGAGTTGAGCCGAGTCAATTACTGATATGCAGACAAAAGTTCACTTCTAGAATCCAGTATAGTCGCATGACTACTTTTGCGTGACATTTGCCTGTACATTGCTATGCAATGCTTGGCGCAAATTCGCTAGGGGTCGAACAGGTGTTCCGAATACCCGTTCGTAAATCTTACGTACCTTTAGTAAGCGAGCACCCGTTTGGATTTCAAGGATGCAGTCAGTACGAAACAACAGCACTGGGACCACGTATTCGCATCTACCAGTGTCGGGATGGTCGCTTGTGTCTTGCTGATCTGGGCTGTTTTCTTGGCCCCAGCCCACCATTTGTAACAATTTTTGTCGCCATCAATGCGTGAACAAAGTTCTTCGAAATTAGAGGGACTTACTGCGTACTGCAGGCACTGACTCTGCAACTGAGTCGCAAACAGGCAATGTGTCCAACAGGGTTGCAAGCAAGCAAATACTGAAATAGGGAAAACCAGTTATGAGTTAGTATCCACGAATCCGGTACACCACGTGAATATCCACTGAGTTGCAAGGCTAAGAATTCAGATCAAACGGCCAACCGTTGCAAGCTATGATGACACACTGTACTGAAGCGATGCTGGCATACACATGTACCTCAAGCATACATCACTCTTCTAGAGCCCAGCTGCGCATATCAGGGAGGCGGGTACGCCGCCCATTGCGGCCGTTGTAGTAGCACCAATGTGAAATGCGTGGCCGAAATACATGGGTAAGTTTGGCACATCAAATGCTGCCAGCATGGAGTGTATACGGTGGTAGTGTACGCAGGGCGGGTAAGTTTCTGTCCATTTGGGAGTACGAACAGGGGGTCGCGTACGGGACCGTGTTCGACAGCATTCGCTTGGGAATTTAGGGCAGAAAGCTACACCTCGGCCTCCTCGGACCAAAGGCATTCGATTTAGCGACCCACATCATTTTGTTTTAACTTTTGAGCTTTAAAAGTTAGTTCTCGGCTGCCAAGTCCAACACCAATGGAGTGCAGTGTTACGGGCAAGAATTCTGAATATACACATGCACAGGCACACTCTGCGAACACGCAAATGGGACAACACACCATTACTAGACGTTCTGGACTTCTCCTTGCAAAAGACGTCTACCATAAGTGGCATAGCTAACAATAAAAGGAAGCACAAAAAGGCCAGAACAGGCACAGCGCGCTTGCACCACCACATACCTTTACACATGACTCAAAAGGCATCATAGTGCGAGCATGACTCATACTCTACTCATAGCACGATCATACAGCACAGCGCAGTTGTACAAGCGCATGATCGCGGGTACAAAGGGTTTTCAAAAATACATATAATTTATCATGAGAGAAGCTCAAACAACCACGTTCGAAGCGAAAACAGAGTAGAAAAGAGACGAAAAAGCAGAGTAGAACGCGATTAGACAAGAGGAGAGAATTATCAGTGTCAGCTGAACAATAGCATGGACACTCGTAACAGCAGGATAGACGACATGGCTGTAGACTGGAGCATCTCCACTGCGCGTCCGCACCAACGTGACAGAGGAAAATAAATAAATAAACAAACAAGGTAAGGGCAAACGAGAATCCTTCAAGAGGCTGTCTTGAAACATGTGCAAATAGGCGAGTTGCGACACCATGCATGCTGAAGAAAAGGGAAACATGCCGCAATGACACCACTAGCAAGAGTGCAAACAGAATGTGTGTGCCAGTGTGGCAAGAAACACAACGAAGTTTACTTCTTCCATGTGAACTTGGGTCAAAAATATCTATTCTTTTTCCGATTTGACAAGATTCCGCTTGTAGTGATCTCTCCATAGCTCTACATTGGTGCATGAACATTTATCGGGTCATGATAATATTCCGCAGGCAGGATGCGGTAAATAATTCAGATTTTACTATGTAATTTTCTGCAGCACCACAATCGTTTTGGTGGAATCCTGCTAATTCGAACCCTAAAATGCCGGGAAAAACTTCTTATCCAATCATGTACTCGCAACACATTATGTATGTCAAAATGCTCACATTGACACGCAGAATTGCGCTATGCATCATAGACACAGAACCAGTCAATGCAGCCTGCTCATGCTTACTGAACTGACCAGCACAGTGTACAGTGAACTTTCGAATCACTCCTTGCTACTATGATTTTGAAATAATTATATGAGCAGGAATCCCACACATTTTCTATATAAATGGATTTCGTAGGACTTCTAGCTTTACGCTTGAAAGAGTACATGTCCGGTTTGAGGGTTTTTTAATATTCATTAGCAGACGTTGATGTATTGACAGAAATAGTTCCTGGAGGAGACTTCTAATTAAGCAGTATGTTTGAATTGAGCCATATTTGAATTATCAGGACTCCAACTGTATTGGAGAGAAGGTTTGTGTGTGTGCGTGGATGCGTGTGTCTGCTTACATGTGTGTGTGGGATGTGGGTGAGTGTATTTGTGTGTGTGTGCAGGCTTTGGCTCTACATACGTCAAAGGACTTTCTTTTGGATTGTGCAATATTTTCCTCATAGAGTGAGGGACTGCCATGGCCTCTCCAGGACTTTGCTTGGGTAAGCGATATATTGAAACTAGAGGTTAAACTGTTACGGATTTGTTCTGTTGGTTATCATATCCATGTAACGATTCGATTATGGATTACAGTCCCAGTTGGTAAAGTTTGTTTCATATCTATATAAAACAAGCCTTGTGGCTGCATACCTCTCGTAGGCTATCCTATACAATATGCATAGCAAGGTTATGTGTGGCTAGTCATGCTTGTCGACAAAGGTGGCGCCAATACCTGTTCCCTGGGTGAGACGAGACAAAAACCTGAAAAAGCATCTCCATTCAGGTCAGTATTCATGCACAAACAGGTAACTAACGCAAGTATTGATTAGCTAATGTTACCAATTATCCGTATGTACTCGTCTTGTTGTAATGAGTGATTACTCGAATAGCTGTTTATATCGTTTCAGGCCTAATTAACCCTTTATGGACTGAACTCCATGTACGTGGAGAATTGTGCCCTCAAATTCTTTACCTTGAATTGGACGTATGTTTAGTTTCCTTGGAACAATTGTCTTCATCTTGGGCATCCCGGAACATACACATGTAACATACACTTGGGAATATCCTATGCCAGTGCATAGGATATTCCCAAGTGTATGTTACATGTGTTGTGGATGTTACAATGGTCCCTGACAGTATGCGATGTACAACTGCTGGATTATAAAATCAAATTATGTACAGTTTGAGTGATTTGTTGCAGAAAATCGCTGCTGGAGGCGGAATTCAAGTGCCGGATTAAAGCGTAGAAATTGAACTGAAAAAATCCGTTTTGTCAGAAAGTGTGCTGGTTTGCAAGGGTGCTGGATAAAAAAGTGCCGGATTATAGAGGGACGACTGTAGTTTGAACATACTTGAAAAGTGTAGAATTTATCGATCACTGGTGATCGATAAAAGTATGTGCCGTCGGCAAAGGGTTAAAAGTAAAATTAACCCTTTGCGTGCGGATGACATGTTTACACGCCATTCATCCCCTACCTGATTCTCTGATGACGTGTTTGCACGCAATCTGGTTTGCATCGTGTATCACGGTGAATATACCCGTGTACAAACTTTTGTTACTCTGTCAAAGAGCATTCAATCCCCACAAACGACACACCGTTGGAAGATATCCAGAGATATAAAGTTCTTCACAATAGGATAACGTTTGACTGAGCGGTGACAAAATGAACACGGAAATCACGGCCCGAAGTGGTCACGATTTTTTGTTTATGACTGCAGATTTTTGGAGCATGCGAGGGCATTTCCCTTTCGCACAGCACATGTGTGGTAGACATCGAATGCAGTGCGTGGATCTCAGCTTGGCAGAGCAGTTTGAATCGTGAAAATCGGTGGAATTTGAGCAAGGAGCCGAAAAAGAATGTGTGACTGAGTTTTTGTTTCGTTCCGAGGCATGGTGGGCCAGTTTGGAGAGGACGTGGAAGTGGCCCTGGTGGGGCTATGGAGCTAGGAGCTTACAGGATGGATTCGCTTGGTCCTGATCTTTCCAACAAGCCCAGGATGTTGAGATTCCATCCAGGTGAACTGAAATGAGAAGACATTTCGTTCAGAGCTGTGTGCCCAAACTCGACGAGGAGAGTCCGTGCGCTGAAGTGCCAGTTTATGGGGGGGGGGGGGGGGGGGGGGGCAGGGCATCATAGAAAGGTTAATAATTTGTGGCACACCAAAAAGGTTTTGGGTAACCTGACTGACCGATGTATTGAGCGCCGACTGATATTTTGTATACAGTCATGCATATACGCATATTATGTGCATCATACGCATGTACATGTACATGCGCGCACTTCGTCGTGTACCAGGCCCATGGCTCTTCCTTCCTGGCTCTGGCTAGATATTCAGTCCTTTGTTTCAAGTTACCTCGATCAAGTCGGATTTTTGCAGGGTGGTTGTAGTTGCCAAGTGTAACATTTTCGACACCGGCATGTCTTAGTTTAGAAACTCTAGTGGCAAACCTATTCGGTCACTATATACCGTACTCACTTGATTAGAAGCCCCTCTCGAATAAAAGTCCCTCTTGAACAATAGCCCCCCTACAAGGACTGTTTGAAAAAATACAAGCCCCTCTCGAATAGAAGCCTGGACTACTATTCGAAAAGCATGGGGTGACCAGATAGTGCCATGTATGAAGGTCAAGTGTGCAAAAAACATCTCGTGCATGTTCATATTGGTGCATGTCCTGGTGGACGTAGTGTGTGCAAACTAACTCGGGGCCGGGTTGCTGTGAATATGAAAGTTTTAGAGATTCAATTGGAATACTGATATGGAATGAAACAATAAAAGCCCCTCTCGAATAGAAGCCTCCTCAAAATTGGTATTGAAAAAATAGAAGCCCCCGCAGGGATGAATTTATCCTGTATCGCATCGCAGTTTGCGATGCAAAATTGATCTACTGCTACTCAAAAGTCACCGTGACTTGCAGAAAATTGCGATATATACAGGCTATCCATGCCTAGCCTACGCTGTCAAGTAACATGCATACAGTGCAGTGTATGTGGTGCAGGTACTCTCAATCTGGGTACACATGTATGCTTCATTCGTTTTTTCTGCAAACGGGCTTTCAGGCATCACTCTTAAGAATGATAATGTGGCAAACACCGAACCTTCAAAGAAAAATACTAATCGAAGTCAAAGACTGCTACACAATTGTGATTTCGTATAGCAGAAACTGCTATGCAAAACTATGACAGTAAATTCATCCCTGCCCCGGCTTCTAATCAAGTGAGTACGGTAGTTGACGGCGGCCGGACCGTCGTCAACAGCTGCATTATCACGGAGGACTGTAGATCTACCCCGAGCAATTTGTTGGAAACTCTTCATCCAGATGGCATCACTCGCTTCAAAGCAGTGTTTGCTGCCTTCACCGGGTCAAGCCTCCACGATGCTGAAAAGAGTGATAATGTTGAACTTCATTTGGAGTTTGGACCCCGATTCTTTTTCTTTACGTTGGAGCAACAGGAAGCTGTAGTTCCTGGCCCGCGGCAATCGCTAAACGATGTGTTGATGCGCAACGTCTTGGAGCTCTGCTCTGCTCGGTGTTTGGGTATGACCACAGTCCAGTTTGACTGTTCCCGACGGTCTGATCGAGCTGTTCATTGAGAATGCCATAGGGGTGAAACGGTTACCCTTTAAGGTTACAAACGGGTACTTGGCTTAACGGGTACTCGTTTGCTAACGGATCAGCAGCTAAACAGACGTGTACCCGGATCACCCCTTTCACCCCTAGAATGCTATGTACGCCTGCTTTATCGACTACACATTTTGTATCTGGGCTGTGTACTGCACAAATGCGCGTACCGGCAATTAGATCTGGCATGCATAAAAAATGTGAGCAATGACGGCACGTGCGCACTTCTGTTGCCTTTCGACCGCGCAGATCTGAGCAAAGTTAAAAGCGTCCCCTTGTAGACCTCTTTACCTATTGTGAGTATCATGCCTTGGCCATGCGTCTGGGTCTGTGGGTAACAGGATACATTTGGGGGTTGATGCTTCGCGTCTTGCCAGGCATGGTTTTGTGTGCAATTGGAATTGGGTAGATTCAACCCATTAAATGCATGTGCGGCTAACAAAGGGTTCAAGCCTGGTCGTTTGTGATGCAATCCATTTAGTTTCCTGTCCTTTGCATACCCACACTCGACTGAAGTGGCTTTTTTAATTTAGATCTCTGTTCTCGTTTTCTCTTTGTGTGTCCTACTGTGAAGGTGTCCTGATTGGCTGCTTGCTTCTCTTCAGTCCCCTGTTGCTGATTGGCTGCAATGGTAAGATATGACGTTTTGAGAACGTTACCTTCTCCCACTGGCCCCCGACACACAACAACACAAACAAGAATAAAGAATGGTGTGTTGCTCCCTACATGGGAGCTTGCGCTATTCCTGCCGACTTGAATTCTCACTTGGCTGACTCACGCTGCCATCCAGAGCACACGAGAAGTCCAAGAATAAAGAATTCAAACTTATAGTGTTTCTGCATTTTTTAATAAACAACAAATGGCGAGGGCGCAGGAGGGGAAGAACAAAGGTGAAACAAAAAGACGAAGGAACAACAAAGAACAAGCAGTGATAAAATTGCGGACGGATCACGACAACCAATCGGGAACCAATACGTACAGAACACATGACCAAGACAACCAGACCACGGATGAATCACTCATCATTCTCGCTCCCAGACCAAACTAGCGCCACACATATACGGCACTCACTTGACAATCGCTCCCACACAGACGGAAGCAGATTCTCACACTCTGAAAACGTGTACTCTTGCATGCGCCACGTACCATAATTATGATACGCGTCACACATCACTCCAAACTCACACGTACACTAGACCATAAAGGAAACAGCAACTATTGCAGGGAAGCGGTGAAAACTGCAAGAAAGCGAAAGCCATAGATCACGGACACAACAGAAAAAGTCTGTACCAAGGAAAGCGCATCGCTAGCCGCGCAGCATTGTACACACACACAGCGCACAGTGCACTGTACATTTGGCAAAAAAAAACATAAAAGAAAATCAAGACAGTTCAAAGCGCAAAAAAACACATGTTCACGTCATGTTCAAGGAAATTCAAACGAAGAGAAAAAGAGAGTAGAGAAGCACAAGAACGAAGAAATGGAGAAGAGAAACGTTCTTGAGATGAAGAGTAGAGAAAAGAGCAGAGAGAACAGGGAGAGAGACTGGAAAGAAGTTCTAAAGAAGACGTGAGAGAGAAGAAAGGTGAGAGAATAGACAGAACGAAAATAGCAAAGACAAAGTCCACAACAAATTCAAACAATGTCGATCTTGTTCACAAGTTCAACCATCAGGCAGGAACATTCTCCCCCGGTAACAGGCATACTCAAAAGCCTGATTACTAAGCTGCACTGCTGAGGACATTCAGGCGGCACAACTTGATTACTGGTCGGCGGAAGGTGCCGGTTGCTGTCTTGACGTCTGCAACTCGAACTTTCCCATCGCGCCCGGGAAACACGGCAGTGACGAGACCTCTGGGCCAGGAGCCCCTCAGCAGCTGGTCGTCCACGATGATTGCTACATCACCCACACTGATTTCTTGACCAACGCCACGCCACTTCTTGCGTGTGCCGATGCTGGGGGCGTACTCCTTCAGCCAACGTCGCCAGAACATGTCAGCTGGAATCTGTGATAGACGCTACTGCTTGCGACAACACAGGTCGCGCTCCGTAAACTCTCCGGGTGGCTGTATGCTACTGGATGTGCCGAGCAGAAAGTGGTTAGGTGTGAGGCTCTCCGGATCGTTGGGGTCCACTGGCACGTGAGTCAGTGGTCGGCTGTTGACGAGACTCTGCCTCAATCATGAGGGTCAACAGTACTTCGTTCTTCGGAGCACGCTCATGCAGTATCACCCGCAAGGTGGACTTCGTAATAGGTTTTGAAGATGGCAACAAAGAATTAAGGTGGACTTCACCGATCTAACCAGGCGCTCCCAGGCTCCACCCATGTGCGGAGCAGATGGCGGGTTGAAGCTCCACTCGATGCGAAGTAACGCCAAGTCGGTGGTGAGCTGGTCTTGGTCGAGGTTGTTCAGCGACTCACGCAGCTCTCGTTCTGCTCCTCGGAGGTTCGTTCCATTGTCAGACCAAATCTGACGAGGTTGACCACGCCTGCCGATCATCCTACGGATGGTCATGATGCAGGTGTTGTACCTGCGCCTGCCAGGTACAACACAGGCATCCGTGGTTAGTGCACGTGCAACCCGTCAGGCAAAATAGCACGTCATAGTACATTTGAGATCAGCGGGAAGAAGATGACGACGTCCACTAATTTAGTATCTGTGCACACGAATCTGCTGTGTGTGTGACTCGGTGTGTCAGCTATGGCATCATCCCCTGTGGTTCCATGCCTAGCATGTACGTCTGAACCATCCTGCAAAGTTTGAATGACGTAGGTTGAGCGATCGCTCCGCGAAACATACTTTTTGAAATTCTCTTCATAGTATATCTTCCACCATTGAAATCGAATTTCTTGCTGAGAGGGGTGGCTTGCAACCTCGATATGGCTTGTTCCAGGCATGCTTTGGAGCCATCCCCTGTTGAAGTAGTGGCGGGGATCTGCCCTGCAACTGCTACAACAAAAAAATGATTCGATCTGAGAAAGGGTGAGACCGCGAATCTCGGTTGAATATTGAGTATTTCAAGCCTTTTCACGACAAAGATGGAGTTCTTTTTGGAGATGGACGTCGCGGCAAAGGACATGGTGTCCGACTTCTGGCGTCTGGTGAAGCCAGGGATCATTTGTCCAGTCAGGTCGGCAGCCTAACCGTCGGTAAGCTTGTGTTTGGATCCCGTTCTGCTCGATGTGGTAGATCACAAAAAATTGATATCGAACAAATTGATCTCAGCATCGTGCGTACGGTATTTTATATTCAGAAAATCCCAAAGTGTCTCTGTGTGGCCGTCCTATGCCACGAAAAACTCCAATCAGGCTCTTATGTCCTCTGCCTTCATGATTGAATGGCCTTTTCGTTTGAACAACGAACACAACAATCGAGGCCGGCTTTGCAATGAAAAATACAGCTACACTGGAGCTGAAAAAAGAAGAAAAAACGTGCTCGGGATGAGACTCGAGTACACGCATACTCTCCCAGCAGGTGAAACGCAAATTTTTGTGAAAAATGCGTGTCGCCGACTGACCAGTAATTTCGCCTGACGTCCAATTGCACAGCTCTCGTGCTCAGGCAGGTGAACAGCACACCATACCTCTTCTCGTGCCGACGTCCGACCGCCACTGTCATCGGTCCGAAGTAATCCATGCCAACCACTGTAAAGGCTCGAACAAACGGCGTGAGGCGGGTGCTCGGCAGGGGTGCCATCTCTGGCGCAGCTGGCTGTGCTCTGTCGTTGCTGCACTTCTGGCAAGTGTTCCAAGAACTTCGGACGGCTCGTCTCAGCCCCAAGATGAGATAGCGCTGACGCAACTCATTGCACACACGCTCTTGCCCTTGATGACATGACGCAACATGATACCACACAATCAGCAGCCGGGTGAAAGGGTGACTCGGATCGAGCACAACTGGCTGCTTGACCATGTCAGGCAGATCGGAGGAGTTGACCAGTCGGCTGTGGTGACGCACTACTCCATCAGTGAGCACAAGCGACAGATGTGACAAGCGGCTGTTCTTGTCCACGGGCTTGCCAGACTCAATACTGCGAACTTCATCAGGGAAACAGTCGGCTTGCACTTGCTGCCACCATAGACACTCTGCACTCTCAAGCTCCTCATGTAGGGGCTCTCCTGGGAGTGGTGCTGATGTACGTAGCGCTCGGTGCTTCAAGATCTTGACGAAGCGGAGTACTCAAGCGGTTGCACGGACCAGTCTCATCCACGATGAGAAGCGACTAGGGTCAGGTAGCGCTGCATTCCGCACACACTCACTAGACACAGCTGTGGCTACGAACTCGCCTTTCAGCTCGATGCTGGGAGTTGAGTCGGCTACTGCAGGCTTGACATCAAGCGGCCACTGCTCTGGCGGACTCTGCAGATACTCTGGGCCGGTCATCCATCTGCTGTCAAGTGTCAACTCGTCGCTGGCCAGACCACGCATAGCGTCATCAGCAGGGTTATCCTTGGTGGGGACCCAGCGCCACTGACTGGGATCCGTTGTCTCAGCGATCTCACCAATCCTGTGGGCAACAAACATCTTGTAAAGTCTGGCTTCTGACTTGATCCACAGCAGGACAGTACGCAAGTCGCTCCAGAATGTTGTGGAGCCGATGGGTAGATCAAGCTGCTTGGCGATTGTGTCTGCCAGACGCGTTCCCAGCACAGCTGTGGTGGCATAAATACAGTTTGAATTCCCCGGCCTGATTGCCACTCACAAAATACTGTTTGACTGAAGTTATTCTATTCGCTGAGTCGAGAGAGCTCTACCATTGTAGCTCTATCATTACTGAATTAATTGTTACTGACATGAGACACAGAGCAACAAGGATTGGACTTGATCGTCGTCAGACGTACCATTAGAATAAGAAATTGAAACTCCTCGAGTGTAGTCAGCAAGCCAAAAGATGATCGCCAAAGGATCAAGCATGCGCATGAAAAACTGCCAGCACTGCACATCGCCATGGCAAAGATGGCGATAGACGAAAAAAGGAGAAAAGGTACGTGAAACATTCAAACTGAGTTATTTTAGCATTCGCGAATGTTACGTAATATCGAATTCGCGACACTCCCGAGACAACAAGAGAGAAAAAATGTGGTGAATGCAACAAAGGTAGAAAATGAGAGAAAGAAATTCTAAATTGTGCTGAGGCAAAGCGGTTGTAACTGAAAACCTGGCGAGTACTGACACTGAGTCCAAGTGACTTGGAACTGAAGTTACTTATCGAAGTGTAGGCAAGTAAACCTGAAAACTGAGAACTAGGCTGAGCTGCTTGAAGGCAGCGTAAGAACGAAAGAAGAAAAAACTTAACTTGAGCGAACACACAGCCGCGGAGACTGTAGGCAGTACGGTTGGCAATAGTCTGAACAAGACCTAGACTGAAATAGCCATGATATAAAAGGGATCGGAAGCAACACTGACGTAGCATGAGCTGAAAGCAGTATGACTGAAATACTGCGACTGGGAATCTGACTGAAATACTGCGACTGGGAATCTGACTGAAATACTGCGACTGGGAATCTGACTGAAATAGCAAGAATACATGGGAGAGCTGAAAGCAGTATGACTGAAATACTGCGACTGAGAATCTGACTGAAATAGCAAGAATACATGGGAGGGCTGAAGAAAACGGATTGTCTGAGAT